CCCAATATAATATCAAAACCTATTTTCTAGGCAATATAATTTTAACCATTCAATGGTTCAATCCCTACGAGCTATCTTTAAAATTGTGGAAGCGTCTGTAACCTGAATTGATATTAAATTGAATAATACCACATAAACAATATATAAAATAATATGTCATAACTTTAGAAATTATTACTTTAATTCATACTTAGGGTTTTAAGCCGAATTTCTGAGGGTGTTTTACTATGTGCAAAATCATCCACCCTGCGAGAACAAATAAAATGCCATCTAAAAATCACCTTTTGGTAGAATTTTAGATTTTACCCCCCAAATTTGCGATAAAGTTGCATATAGACTTATATGATTATACTTGAATTATTGTTAAACATTTCCATTACTTTTTGGTAAGAGGGTTTTTTAGTTATAATTGAGGCACTCTCAAATATTTTACTCACTTATCCCACACTAAGACATTGATCACCTTTTGGCAGAACTAATGTCCTCATGTAGGTAAGTGTACTGTGAGACCTTAATAAGACCAATGCCTTAAAATTCCAAAAAAAATAATAACCTCCATTAGCATGTCACCTTTTGGCAGACATCACTCACTTTGGCTACCACATTTGAAACGGTCATTTTACTAGTTTTCCTAAACCCCAAGGAAGAACCTAAACTGCAGAAATTTCATTTATTTAAGTTCAACAATTTCTTTATGTTGCACATAAACTAAATCCAAATATTATGGAACACTTGATTTCACTGTAATATAAATGACTTTAACACAAATAAAATTAAGCCTCCTCATACATATCAAGAAATTACAGTGAACGATATAATAACATGCACCTCAATCAAGATTTAAAAAATCTTAGTTCTTTTTATATTGTTTGTTTATAACACGTAAGCCCTATAGATTTTTCAACTTAAAATTAAATAAATATCATGAATTACTCAATTAGAGCATTGGGCATAAGGTGTAGCTACAAAGCCATGCAGCCTCATATTCAACTAAAAAGTTACTTGTACATGTAATATGACATGAATAAAAAGTTTCAACATCAAATAGTTTATGGAATGATTTGTTTGGCACGGTATATATCATGTATATATAAACTATTTGAGTATTAAGTCATGCACCAAAGTCGAGGTTGAAATATGGAACGACTATATACACATGTTGGACAAATTCCATGTACACAAAAATAGTTATATTAATCCATGTACGCAAAATAAATTCCAAAATTAAAAAACATTTATATTTCAGCTTTCATGAATTAGTGAAAATTCTATAAATCCATAAACATTGAATCTTTTCAATTGCCATCAATTGGGGTATATACAAATTCATTTGTACATATATTAAAACTTGAATTGAATATTTAATTATATTCAATTAGATCACTCAATCATCCAATATATGTTCACATATTGAATGAATATATGCATGCAACAGTAACTCTATTTTATTTATTTAATTACCTGCTTCAAGATTGAACATCAAAAGCAAGCGCACATTCCACGAAACCAAACATAGCTTAACAATGCATCGGTATATATTTTGATTGTCAGAATACATATATAATCATCAATTTGGTCACGATTCTTATATAATATATATGTAATCTATACAGCAGCTATAGGTATATGCATGAAACAGTGGGTAACCATAACCGGGGTATATATTTGTTCATACTCACAGGAGATATCAAGTTATCAGCAATAATGCAATCACCATGCACGTTTAAAGAGGTCGATCATTATAAACCAATGCATCAGGTAAACTATACAATCACAATTTGCGAACCAATATATATTTATTTATTTATCATGCCCTTAATTTAAAATAATATATAATGTGTATTCAATTCATTGATCTTGATTTCTACTGTATAAATCTTAACTAAACTTGGTTCTAATACAAATTGTTGGGTTTTAATCAAATAATTTAGACGTAGAAATCAAGAATACTACAATTAATTAAAGAGATAATTTAGTCTCGTACTTGATTGATGATTAACGCACATATACTTTTAGATTTTCGAGAATAGTCTTAAAATTCTTTGTGATCCTGCAAAACATTAGAGTGTTTTATCCCCTTCTGAGAGTTGTCCTTTGATAGAGTTGAATAAGGGTTTCAAAATCCTTATATATCAACAACAGGAGGGACGACTTCTCTATAAATAAACATACTTAAGTCTCCCTTCATATCATGAAAACTTAGATATAAATAATTAGAATTAAATCATATCAAATAAGTTGAAAAGCCACAATCCAACGTTATAAAACCATACTGCCAATTAGACCACCAAATTGGAAAGTACAACCCAATCCATCAAATATTAATAATCACATTGCGATTCTATTTTAGAAAAAATAATGCATAGGACCATAAAATTATTTTTATTATTTATATATAAAAATTTCCAACAGTATATCCATATTTTTTACTGCCTTTATTTCTTTCTTTTTATTTCAATTTTTGCCACTAGTTATTTTTTTTTCTTTATTTTCCCTTTTTTTTTTTTTTTTTCTAAATTGTTGCCATTAGCCTTTTTTCCCGTCCTTCGTTTCATTTTTTTTTCTTATTTTTTCCTAAATTTTTTTTTTTCAAAATTGTTCTGGTTTAATAACAAATTTGGTGAACAATTCCCTGTTCTTAATTTTTTTTTCTAAATTTGGTGAACATTCCCTTGTTCTTATTTGTTCTGGTTTAAAATTTAATAACAATTTGGTTTAATAATTTTTTTTCAAAATTTGGTTAACATTCTCCTGTTCTTATTTGTTCTGGTTTAAAAAAAAAAATGAAAGGAAGGACGGAAAAAAGGCTAATGGCAACAATTTAGAAAAAAAAAAAGGGGAAATAAAGAAGAAAAAAAGGAAGGAAAAAAATAACTAGTGGTGATAATTGACATAAAAAGGAAATAAATAAAGGCGGTAAAAAATATATGTATACTACATGTATATAGATTGAGGGATCGATGAAATACAAGAAAGGTAATGAAAAATTATTTAAAGGGTAGTTCTGTCTTTAAAAGGTGAGTTATGTTTTAAAGTAAGTTATATTTTTCAGGTTCCTTGAGGATAGAGAAAGAGTGCATGTAATTAATGAAACTTAAAGTAGCCAATGACAAAATCGACTGCGAAAGGTCCTTAGCATTCCTCATTCAATAATCCACAAGGGGAGGGAGAAAATGAAGTATAATGAGGAAGATTTTTATAACATTTATATGTGTGAACACTCTTTAATTATGTAGTCTCGTTTCAAACAAAATCACGAGTATTAAGGAAAGAGTATACAAAGTGAACAATATTTATAAAAGAGTTGCGAGTGAAAAACACCCGCAAGGTATGCATATAGAGTGTATAACTTTCTATACGTTCTAAAAAGTCTCTAGCATTCAATTTTAGAGCAAATAAGGACGGAATGCTGAAAAGACTAAAGTATCCCTCTATAACTAAATAAAAAAATAGGTAAAAAAAAAAAACTTATTAAATATGAAATAACTAAACTGTCCTTCTTTTTATATGTATAATACAAAGTTGCAGGCAAAAAATACCCCTATGGCATGTGCATATAGAGTATATTCTCCTATACGTTCTAAACCTCCTTAATATTCAATTTTGGTACAAACAAGGACCTGAATACTAGAAAGACTAAAGCATCCCTCTACAAATGAATAAAAAATAGGTAAAAAAAAAAAAATTAAATGTGACAAGTGTGTATATAAGAACATTATCAGATGAGACAATGGTATTTTTAAAATTTTATATCTTAAAAATGTCATGTGTGGTATGACAGGATGTGGCTCATTGGATCTGGGCCTTGAATTGGATAGTAGCAGCCCGAATCTGTCTATATGTCTGTAAGTAGGATGGCTTAATTTGATTCTGGGCCTTGAGATGGACTCAAACCACGTCTCTCGGTGGCAGGCCAAATTTAATGTCTCTCACTGTCTTTGTGCGCGCGCGCGCGTGTGAAGAAAGGGAATTGCTTTGTTGGACATGTCTCCTGAAGCTCAGTTTATACCAAACCTTTTAATCAAGTGGAGTCCACGTCCAATTAATCTTATTATCTATATATATATATATATATATATACCTCACACATATATTAAATGGTTATGAGTTTACTTTTTTAAATGAAGAGTTTTGATTATACCATACCATCTAATAATTTCCCTGTAACATTCGTTCAAAATTAATTCTACAGATTGGGCGAATAAACGCATGAGTTTTTTTGAATTTTTTGATACACAACTCATCGATTGTTCTGAGCCAATTCATTGTCACATTACACCTATTCATTACAAAATCATAAACATCACACCTTTATTATTATGCCTGATCCTCCAATTTCATTCACCCTATTTCATTGCCCGGCCTTCTCATCTTGCCTCTTTACCCTACGTTTTTCTCTATTTTATTTCTATGCATCCTTAAATAATTAATCTGCGTTTTTCTCATACATCGTTAAATAACTTTAACATAATTTTAGTATGTGTATGCGAGTATGTGTTTTTGGAGAGAGAGAGAGAAGAAGAAGAGAGATTAAACAAAAAAATTATTATATGATTCGAGACCTTGATGTAAATATGTAAATTTTGTATCAGTTCTATTTTTATTTATGTGTCAACACGGGATTGGTTGGAATTGTGTAATAATTTTTTGATAAAAGGGAGATTCTCTTTCAAAGTGAATGTTGCTCAAAAAAAGATTCTCACATACCCGCTATTATTATCCACTGATGTGTTTTTCATTGATTGAAATACTTTGAAAAAAGAGATAAACTCTGTCTTTGTTATTTTAAGAGTCATAGTTAGACACTAATAATTGAAGCGGCACAAAAATACCCGATCGGATTCACCAGCTATGAACCGAGAGTGGAGCATATATAGTTCCATATTACAAAGCCTATACCAATCCGAACTCATACTTCTATTATATGGGTAATTAAGTCATATTTTGCTCTCATATCTGTCATCAACTTTTCTCTCTCTCCAACCCCACGAATTAACCCAATGGAGCAAAACCACCACAACCAACACCCACCACCACCACCACCACCACCACAATTTATGATGAACAGACCTAGTACTGGTGCAAGACGTCGTTCTGTGACATTGCAGGAGTATCTTGACCGTTTTCCTCCTGGTTATAGGTTTTGTCCTACTGACAAAGAATTGCTTGTTGACTACCTGAGGAGCAAAGTCCGTAACGAGACATTACCGGTTAGTCCGATTCGTGAAGTTAATCTATATGATTATGATCCTCAGATACTGACGGGTAATTAAAACTTTTGCTATTTTAATTAGTTTCATGCTTGTATATGTTGTTTTATTTATTTATTATTTTCATGCTTTCTTTGTTTATAGAATTTTCAAATTTTTATGTAGTTTATATTTTCGATTACGTAGAGTAGCATGAAGAAGATATAGTGTAACAGCTTATTTATTTTTATGTAGTTCATAAACTCCATTAATTAGGATTGTTTATATGCTTGTATATAATTTTTTTTTTTTTTTTTTTTTTTCAATTCTCTGATTTGGTTAGAAATATGAATAGATCACATTTTTCTTACGTTTTATTATTTGAAAATTATTTATTTAACTATGGTACAGTACAATTCCCTAACATGTATGTTAAAAGATTCTTTTACGGTTCAAATTCAGTATATGAAATATTCAATTACAATCATTCAAAAAAAAAAAAAATATTCAATTACAATTTAATTGAGCTAATCAATCCAGTCCAATCAATTCGAGTCAAACTCATTCTTAAATCTTTTAGCTTGCCTTGCAAACTCAGGTGTTAGAATTCTAGTTATCACACTCATTTTATTATATAAACATCTTCTATAGTGAAAGTTATTTACTCGGAATGCACATAATCTATTAAACAATTAAAATAAATTTATTTTGAAAGCAAGTGTTTAGTATATCTAAAATAAAAATATAAAAAAAAATTAAAATTAAAATTCGGATTCACGTATTCAAACCCAACCCTAATTAAGTTTGGATTGAGATTTATCAATCCTTTTGTAAAAATAATTGCTCAAACTCAGACCGGCTCGAATTGAGTATGAATTAATCTTCTCTAAAACTTGCTTTATGCTATTTTGAAAGCTATGATTAATCCAAATCCAACCCTAATTAAAATTAGGATTCAGGTTGCTAACACCTCAATACAAATCCAACCCTAATTAAGTCTGAATTGAGATTTACCAACCCTAATTGTAAAAATAATTGCTCTAACACATCAAGTCTCGGGTTGGGTTTGGATTAATATTCCCAAATTATTTTATTTTATTTTTTGAAAGATATGGTCTACCCAAGTTGCACCCTAGTTTTTGGTATTTGGAATTTTAGATGTTACATGAGGATTAAGGATTTGACAAAAATTAATGTAAAAAACTTGTGTGTATATCACCAAATTAAAAAACTGTTGTAAACGTACAAAATGTGGATAAGAATTATATAATTTAATTACAAACTAACGTTTGCATTTTGATTGAACTGTGACAAGGATTTTACAAACTGATAAGAGAGGATGCATGGTATTTCTTCACCACTCGAAATCGAAAGTATCCGAACGGCAAGCGGCCGGACCGAGCTGTGGATGGCGGATACTGGAAGCCAACCGGTGTTGATAAAGAAATCAAAAGCAATAATGTGACTGTTGGATATATGAAGTCATTGGATTTTTACCAAGGCAGGCATCCAGGGGGAATAAGAACAGATTGGAAGATGCACGAATATAGAATTCAACAGAAGAGTTCTCCTCCTCCTCCTCCAAATAATACCAATACCAATAGCAATGGTACTGCAGCTGCTAAGAAGGTATATATATATATATATTGAATATTAATTGTGAAGATCCCTAGAAAAAAATATACTGTTCAATATATCAAGCTAATTATAAACATTATTTTGACTTTGACAGATGAATGAGTTGGTTTTATGTAAGATATACAAGAAGAAAAACAACAAAGAAGAAGCTAATACTGAAGGGGAAGCAACGACGACGCCAGTAATTGATTATGCGACCACAAATCTTCATCAAGGACGACAATGGGCAAATGAATCCATCATTGGTTATCAAGGTTTTCATGACCATATGGTACTCAATAATGACCTCCGTTATTCATCCAATGTGCATCAAAATTTTTTTAGCACAACCTTACAAGGTACGTTGTTACCTACTTAGGTACTGCAATCTTTCTTTAACTTAACTGCATGTATGCATGCTTAATTAATAATCAGCAATCATTTTCCTTTTTCCCACATATATATATATATGTATGGATTAATTGATGCATGGTATATATATGCATGGATCATTTCGCAGTGGGACCAAGTTGTTCAAAGTTGGCAAATCTTGTACCATTCATAGAGCCAATAAATTGTAATTCAAAAATGCATATGGCGGGATATGGCACCGGATTGAAGCCGCCTACAAGTCACGATGTAGCAGGACCAAGTAATTCTTCAATTCATGATGAACAATACTGTCCGGGTTATTTGATGTCAGTTGTGATGCAGGGATGTGGCAAGGGATTGAAGCCGCCTGCAATTCACGATGTACCTGCAGAAGCTGGAACAAGTTCTTCAAAGTTGCCAATGCAATTTAATCACGAGGAGGACGTCACCAGAATGAAGCCTCTGGGTTATTCGGAGCCCATGTTTGACATTATGAATTATAATAATCCACTCCAACTTCCAACAGATGTGGAAGCTTATTCAGATAACATCTATGACCAACTTGAACCACTTGATCAGAACATGGAGTTGACTCGTGGTGATGATGATGATGATGAACATCAGCCAAATATGGTTCCAAGGCAACCATGAACCTAAATCCACATGATCAGATTTGGTATATATATATATACCGAGATCAATACATCACTTGCTTTAGAATTTCTGAGGACCTATTTCTAGTTGCTAGCTTAGCTACTTAGTTGGAAACTTAGTGATCAGATTACTCTGGTGATTAGGTATTAGTGATTTTTTTATTAATTTGATTGCTTTATACCATGTGTTTGATATACATATAATATATATGTCGTTCCCAGATAGGAATTTTTATGCTATTTTGCGTTGGCCTATTAAAGTTTTATAATGATATTGTGGTATACTTATAATACGCATGCATATGTGTGCATATTAAACTGAAGTATCACTTTTAAGGAAAATAAATAAATAACATTGATTTCATTGTAACAAGTCATGCAAATATTATTCTTTTTGGTTGTGTACAGTGTACTGCTGTGGTTCCATTGCCCCAAATCAATTGACATTCACAAATCTGTTTTATTATTATTTATTTATTTTTAGTTTTCAAAATTGCTAAAGATGTAGTACATCATCTTTCACTGGAATATCCAAAAGTAAAAAATGCCCAATTTATTACCCAACATCTATTAGCGTTTCCAACCAATCCCAATTTAACTGAAATCATGGACAAGCCCAAATCTTCAGAGCCCAGACTAAGCCCTACTTGGGCTGGGTGACATTGATCCAGACATAACAAGCTAGGCTGGGTCCATGGGAGAAAATGCTACTACACAACAGTACAGTTGAATGTTATGTTGTAGCAATTAATTAATTGTTCATTCCTTTGTGTTTAATGAATCATCACTAGAGTACATTACCCAAAGGCTCTATCACATTGAATTGTTCGCTCTTCTGTGCTGGTAATGAATCAATTACCACATTAAATCTTAATTATACTTGGAAATAAGTAAAATTGAAGGGATACAAGAGAATTTTTTTGAATTTGGCTCATACCACACAAGAGTTTCTAGTTTTGTGCATTCTAATAAAACTAACATTTATTTAAGTACTGAAATCTACAAAGAATTGTACAAAGTTAATGGTAATTTCTTACCTTTCAAAATAGAAGGTCCGGTTAAGTTCCGACAGGGACAAGGTTGTAACTTTTTATTTTTTATTTTTTTTGTATATATATATATATATATATATATATATATATGTATGTATGTATGTATAAGTCTTATTGGTAATTTAGGGTCAGTGATTAGAGTTGGAAAATAGTTTATAGACACGTAAGGTCAACATCATTGGGAGAGGAGGGGAAGGGGGGACCCATGGTGCCTCATGTAGAAGAGACAATGCATGATGCAAGAGTCATGATACATGTTTAATAAAGAGGGAGCCCAATCTCTATCAATAGAGATTCTATAGTGAAAACCCATTTGCTTTTCTCACTGCCTTTTTTATATTTATATTTTATTTTAAAAAAAAATTCTGGTCATTTGGATGACAATCACCTAAAGTGGCTTCCCACACCATCACCCATGCACATGCTATTGGTGGAGGGTGGAGTGGTGTCATGTCTTTTGAAAGTTAAAAAGGATAAAAGGAAGGTGGGATTGGATCTATTTTAGTACAAGGGTTTGATTTTGTTATCACAACTATTTCTATGGGCCTTCATAGTAAAGGCCCCCATTCAAGTGCATATTTGCATATAGAGGTCCCATATTTTGGATATTAACAAAAAAGGGCTCCAAAACTTAACACCATTTGTGCTTGTTAACACATGTTTTTTTCATTTTATAATTCCTTATAACCTTTTAGGCAATCAAAAATGGGCCACCCTGTTTGAAATGTAATCAAAGAATGAAACATGATACTCGAAAAAGTCACCTTCCATAACAAAGCTAATCATTCCATCTCGCTCCCTCCATCATTAGTGACCAAGTTATAGTCTTATAATAAAACATTTTTTAATGAAAAAAAGCAAGAAATGTAAGAAATTTTACACATGGTCACTCCACCTTTTGACTAATGCTATATAAATCAGGTATTTTTATTAGGGAAATTTTCAAGAACAGTATCCCTCTCTTTCTCTAATTTGAAAAAAATGACTATCGTCATATTTAAATTTTTTATCAAGCAGAAAATACAACTTTCCATGAATTTTAAAGTGAAATCACCTGACTATATAACTATACACTTAAATTTAGGGACATAAATGTCATTTCCTACACACCACGAAACTTTATTATCTTCATTAAATTTATGAAATTTTGAATGGAATATATATTTAGCCACAACAACATCAAGCCGTTGGTCCCCTCCCTATAACTATAATTCTGCAGAGTTGGATGGATGAACTTTATGTGTGTGTGTATATATATATAGGCATTGTGGAGCAATTTTTGTATTTTAAATGGTATGGTGCCACTAATGATACTATCATGAGTCCTATTGATTTTCCTATGACCCCAATAGTACTACTACTATTTATGCTAGTTGGTATCTTTGCCTAATCAAGATTGACAAAGGCTCACCTAATCATGAACCATGTATGCTTTCAATGTCATCCCAAGGGGACATGTTGAACAGGGACTTCAAGCTAATATTCCCCAGACAAATATACCAAATTTTTATTTTTTATTTATTTTAATTGATGATTCATAACAGATGGTTTAATTGATTAATGATGCCATTTTTTATTTTTTATGTAGTGTTTGGTATGCAAAAATGGAATGGAATGCAAGTGGAAATAAAATAATAATGAAAATAGAATAGAATGGTCATTCACATGCTATTGTTTTGTTGCAAATGTGAAACATGTAGAAATGAAATGATAATAACTGTAATACCCCTAGATTTAAAAGGATATTCCTGGTATTTAATGTATTGTTTAAATAGTATTTTAATTTAATTAATTATTTAAATTGTATTTTTCTTTAAATTAAATTAATTGTTATTTCGTGAGTTATTTGATTTAATTGCGTTTTATATTAATTGGTTAATTATTGTATTAAATGGTAATTATTTAATTATTTATAATTGAGTTATCGTAACGTAGGGTTTAGGTTTTATCATAGCCGCCGTCTGTTTCAACTTAGGTAGTTTCATGGGCCGATTAAGGTTGGAAGTAGGGCTTAGTCTCTAATTTTTACATGGATTAGGGTTATTGTTTTGGGCCTATAAATATATCATAATGTGGGTTTAGGGTTTTGGGAAGTACGTACAACTCTGTTCACGTACCTAGATACAGAGAGTGAGAGACAGAGAAACAGAGAAAACTTGAGTGATCTACAGAGAAGTTCAAGAAGAAGGGAACAAGGGTTTTCTTCTGGGTTTAACCAAGAGTAGCAGAGGAGTAGAACGACAATTTAGAAGGTGGTCGGAAAACCCCAGAGACGATGGTTTAGAGTTTCAAAGTCTGAAACTCAAAGGCAAGTTCTATCTTCCTCTTTCCCTTTGGGCCGTGTTCTGTGCACCTAGATGATCTCTAGGGAATAACTAATCAATGATTGAAACCTACATGTTTATTATATGCTTGGATGATAGTCTGTTTGTTTTAAAATCCAATATATTTACAGTTCGTGTATATTTGTTTCAGTATCCTGTACGTTAAGTATATTGATTCTGTTGTAAATTTAGTCTCTGTATTTGATTGCAACTTTTGTAAACACAGTATAGGAACACTACTGGGGTTATACAAAGCTTATAGGGATGCTATTATTCTATTTTAAATACGTGTTGCAATCCGTTCCGCTTCAATTTGCATATGGTTCCAGTGTTCATACTAACAGCATATTAAGTTGGGTAGCAAACTTAAGCTTTGTAATTGATTTAAATTGCTATAATCAAACCTTGGGGATGCTATTAAGAGGGTGTTAGATCCTTTAGATCAGTTTAAGAAACAAGCAGAGGGGTAGGAATTGATCGGAGAAGGAGCAGATTGACGGAAACGGAGCAGAGATGAACTGGAGGCTCTCAAGAGGGAGAGAGCCGGCTCTAGAAAGTCAAGAGCCGGCTCCCCTTCAGCAAGAGCCGGCTCCTAGGGAATTGGAGCCGGCTCCAATAGGGGAAGAGCCGGCTCTTCCATTCCAAGAGCGGGCTCCAATTTGTTTTACGTCCAGAAAGTGTTTTCTAGGGCTCTGTTTGGTGTTTTGAGCACTGTTTGAGCTTCTGAGTGATTCTAATGAACTGTAGGGACTTAACAGAGGATCTAAGTAGTTAATTCTAAGTGTTATTAAACTTATTGTTGCATAGTTTAAGTCTCTAAGACAAAGGATGTAGCAGTGTAAAAATATACAACGGTGTATCCTACTAACAGAAGAAAGGAACTAAATGGCTTGATTAAATTTTAGAAATTTAATGAGACTTCACGGAGGGATTAAATAGTTAATTTTTGGGTGTTATTAAGACCTTAAATTGATTTAAGGTTAATTCTAAATTAACGGATCAAACTGTATAACACTTATGTACATTGTATACAGTTAGTGGATAAATGAAGTTTTAAATACTTAAGCTTATTTTAGGCATTCCAGTGGGATTTAATATATTTATAAAATGGTTTTAAATATATTATAGGGTCATTGATGTGTTAGATGTGATCTATGCAGGCTCTGGATGTTAGTGGTTGAATTATGAAATCATTCCTTACAACTATATGGTTTAAATGCTTGGATTTAATTGCAAATACTTGGATATTGGTTTTGGATTATAAATCGCTAAACGATTATATATATATGTGGAATTTTAATTGCTGAATTAATAGATTCTGTCAATTACATGGTTGTGGAGGATGGTATGAACCGGTATGGGACGGTGTCATACTAGGGATGGTTTAGCTCAAAACGCATAAACCGAACCTATTGGATTTAAGGGAAGGATTGTAAAATATTGAATCCTAAACCTTGTTTAGTCAGATCGACTGATGAAGTTGAAAGACTATCTGGATTAATTGTGTTTGTGTGTAGTCGGATCGACTGATTAAGTTGAATGACTACCTGGATTAAATGTTGGTTGTGTTTAAGTCAGATCGACTGATTAAGTTGAATGACTAAACTGGATTAAAATTCTTA